AATCAAAGTCTAGATCTTCTGCTGAAGACACATGAAGCAGAGACCTTTCAGGTGAGAGCCCCTCTGGTGGTGTTCAACATTAATGACAAGGAAACAAAGCTCTGGTCAGAAGCATTTTTTATAAAAAGCTTTAACAAAATTAAGTATTTCTGTACATTTTGAATGCAATCTAACTTTCCAACTCAGAAAACGAAAAACGAAAAAGTGCCAAAAGTCTTCTCACATGGCTGAGCTGCTTTGCAATATACTTCACCACTGAAGAATACAAATATGTATAAAGTAAACTATGATGCAATCTAACTTTCCAACTCAGGAAAAATGATAAAGAGCATGAACAAAGAACATGTAAAAACAAATGCAAAATTTGCACAATCTAAAATGAGAAACTGTAACTGCAAGTAACAAAGTCTGAGCCATGGTAAAGAGTTACATTGAACACCAAGCTGATCAGATAACTCCCTGGTTGGTCTGAAGTCCTTCTATCTCCAGGATCTGTACAAATCGGCACATTATGCCAAAAGTCTTCTCACTGGGTGAGCTGCTTTGCAATATACTTCACATTGTTAGAAAAGGCTCCAGAAGGCCATGGGGACATCAGTATCAGGGGCTGGAGCTGGACAGGCTCTTTCATCAGCACTTCTCCTTCCCTTTGCCAGCCAGGACCTCACATACTGTTCCGGATTGAACTGTCCTAGTGATGGTCCATTACATTTAATGAAAACCAGGCTGGACAGTCGGCTGACAGAGAGAGCATTCCTTTTTGCAGTAAGGATATCGTTCATGCAGCTGAATGCCCGCTCACACTCACTAGTGGAGACAGCGATGGTTCGGACTGCTTTCAGTAGAGGCTCCATGGCAGCAGGTGTACGGGATGCCCTGGTTTCCTTGTATTCGCGAAAGCCCTGAACAGTCTCTCTTCTGTCCACTTTCAGCACTTCGCACAAACGTAGCACCTCTACGTCCCCATACTGTACGTCTAACTCCTCTTCAGGCCAACTTCCAGGATGGATAACTTTCATGTCCTGGATTAGCTGATTGTCCCGGGCCTCCCGGCCATGTAATGGGATTTCTCTTGTGCTGACATGAGAGGAGGTTGTGGAAGTCATTCTGTGTCTCAGATTCTCTACCATACTGCGGAAAAACTGACCTGCATGAATCTGTACAAGCCTGCCATTCTCACGCAGGGCAACACCCTTGAAGGACTTCTCAGCTAGAGCTGTATGAACTGTAGTCATGTGTGGGCCAGGCATGGTGACCATGGATTCAAAAACTCGTATTTCTCGAGTTAAGAGCCTATCTGCTGTAGGCAGTGTCATCTCTCTTTTTTGGAGTTGCCGAGAGAGGTCGCTGAGCTCTGTGAGCGCATCGTACATCAGTCCCAGATTGCTGACAAACGTTGCAGATGTGAGCACATCATCCAGGCCCTTGTACTTTGCTCTGTCTCTGGAATCCCTGCTCGTGTCGTTTGCAGCATTTGTGAAGTGATCATGAAGCACTCGGTAGTTTTCCCAGACTGCTCTGACGCTCCTTTCACTTGAAGCCACCCAGCGGATGGACAAAACACGCCCTATCACCAGGAGACGCTGTCCGACTGCTTGCGCACACTGCGCTAACTGCCTCTGATTTTTGGGGGAGGCATGGAACAAGGAATAGAGTTTGTCAAAAAAGATCTGGAAATGATTGAGCCCTGAGACCTCCTTGACCACATCCCCAACTGCCAGCTCTAGACGATGATTGGAGCAGTGCCACACAAACAGGCTTGGGAATTTACTACACAACTGGGTAGCAACGCCTGTTCTCTTCCCTAGCATGACTGAAGCCCCATCACATGCAAAAGAAACGAAACACTGACCTAAAAAGTCCTCGTTAAAATCTCTTCCAAGACACTCCATTAACGCCTTTGTGATGTCATCAGCCGTTGTTCCATCCAACTCGATCAGCTCCCAAAAAAAACGTTTCGGGCTCAGCATCAGCTAATGCTGAGCGTAGACACACAACAAGCACCGTTTTACCACTAATAGTGGTAGATTCATCGACCAAAACACAGAGTTTTCTTTGGTTTTCTGTAATGTCTTTTGCCATTTTTTTTCTTCAGCTCATGAGCTATGTGGTCGATGATTTCGCCACAGGTTTTATTGGAGTGCAAAACCCTGCCCACGTTCAGCCCATTCAGTTTCTGTACATTCAAATCAATTGGCATGTCTGTGAATGGCCGGCTATGTTTGCCAATTTTATATGCCGTTCGAAAAACTCTGATAGTGGTGTCTAATTCAGATTTATGCATAGACTGCACTTGATGTTGAATAGTTTCACGTGAAGCAGATGTAAGGATGTCAGCAGCTTTTACATGGGCTTGTGATTCTTTATGTTCTTTGATTTTTTTTTCTCAGGCTAGCTTGTTGTTTGCCCTTGTCAACACCGAAATGAGACACTGCACACTCACCCCATTCAGTTGACAGTTTCAGTCCTTGTCCAGTGTGTATTCCCAAAGATTTGACATCTCTGCATATCCGACATCCTAGCTTCTTATCTTTAAGAAGGAGCCATGCATTGGTCTTTGTTACGTGCCAGGCAGGCTGTGCAAAAATATTGCACCTGGTCCGTTGTCCAGCAGTCAGGTGCATCGCTTTGCCCGGTGTTGGTGGTGGCAGTTGCGCCAGCAGCAGCTAACGTTAGAGGCTCTGGAGGAGGCGGCGGAGCTAGTGCTAATGCTAATGCACTAGAACTTGGAGCAGGAGGATCAACCAAAGAAAGCTCCCCATCAAACACAATTTCCAACACAGGCACAGCATTCTCTGTATTTGAAGTTTCTTCCGGCGACAACCGCTGTCTTTTTGCACTTTTATTAATCCAAGCTAACATTTTAGAAATGCTAATTTGTGACGTGACTTGCTTTCCTTCTCTCGGGGGCGTGCCTGCTCTGTTCTATCACTCTACATAGCCACCCACTGGGTGGGAGTTGCACTGCATAAACACAACACACGTGCATCTAGGTATGTAAATTGTAAAGCATTAAAACATGGTTTTACTAACAGTTTTCAGTATGTTGTTACTTCGGCATTATTATTATTATTATTATTTTGAAACGTGTATTACTATTAAATCACGGTCAAATAGGTTAATTTTGACATAGTCGTTTCCACCACAGTATTTACATGGAGAAGATAAGCCCCGCCCCCTCTCCAGCACGTTCTGTTTGAATGACAGGAGTAAACAGCTGACAGCCGCTGTGAAACTCCAGCCGTTAGAGCGATGAGAATGTCCGTTCGGCACCTCATGACGCATCTACTGAGTACCGGGCGGCTGTATATATATATATGGATGTATAATACTATACTATACTATAAGAGTGTTGAGTACTGGCACGGTGCATGAGTACCGGAGTACCGCCAGCATGCCGGTACTGAGCAAGAAGTGCCGGTACTCCATGGGTCAGAACCAGAAGTGCCGGTACTGCGTACCGGTGAGTACCGGCCCAATTCCAGCACTGGTCAGAACCAGAAGTGCCGGTACTGCGTACCGGTGAGTACCGGCCCAATTCCAGCACTGCTCATAGCAGGAGAATGTCTGCATTCACAAACGAAATACTCATAGACAGTATACTCCGGGTGATTTACCCTACGGTCAGTATATTATAGTTGGCGTTCCTAACCGAGCTACCGTTCATAGCGTGTATGCTACCGAGATAAACAACGACGCAACCGAGAGGTAGACATGCTAGGCGAAAACATTGTTTTCATGCCAGCCAGCTACAATGAATGACCGAACGTAGCAGACTACCCGTATAAGATTGCAATTGTAAACACGTTCTTCCTAGCCTAATATGAACCACTAGCTTTTGTTCATAGTGGTTTTATTACACAGAACAAGCCATTGACACTGGGCTAACGAAGTTGCTAGCGTTTACATATATCAACTACAATGTCAGCAGATGGCCTTACATGTTTCTCATAGCACGAGAATGTCTGCATTCACACACGAAATACTCATATACAGTATACTCCGGGTGATTTACCGTACGGTCAGTCGCGAAACTTAATTACATTATAGTTGGCTTTCCTAGCATGTATGCTACAAAGATAAACAATGCTACCTATAGTTATATATGCTAGGAAAAACATTGTTTAATGCAAGCTAAAAATAATGACCGACACGTAGCAGACTACCGTATAAGATTGCAATTGTAAACATGTCACATGCTAGCCTAATATGAACCACTAGCTTTTGTTCATAGTAGGTTGGCATATTACACTGAACAACTAGCAAACGTAGGTCCGCTCAGAGCCGGAAAAACACTGTTAGACATGGGCGGTTGACTAATCAGAACAGAGTGCCCGAGCTGACCAATCGGAGCACACTGGGCTCACAGGGAGAAACGTTACGCTAAAATACGGGTGAAATACACACACAAACTTTCATCTTTCCTCATTAATAAGTAACTTATTTTAAAACCAGTTGAAAATATTCCCGCTCCTTTGACGTCCTCAAGATGCACGCGCTGTGCACAGCTGGTACTAATGACTATGACGTCATCAGCGGGTGCCAGCAACAACCAATATTTTGTTTTTGGTCGTTACATTTTTGGTTTGTAACACTAAAGTAATTCAAAAATAAATCGACTTTTCTCCTCCTAACTCTTATAACATTTGTATAAGCACAAACTGTATAGGAAAATAGTATACAAAACACGAACAAGGAAAACATGAATAAACAAAACAATCATTACTCAAAATAAAAGATAAACTATTAATGGTAATTAAATTAATTGGTTTATTTAAACCCCTGAAAACAAAAATGAAAAAACTAGCCCTGTGACAATTTTTTCCTAATATAACTTAAATCTACTTTTCTTTAAAAAAGAAAGAAAGTCATAATTAATAAATGGCATCTTTCTTTTTCATTATGTCAGAACATTGGACCTTTCTGACACATTTGAGCTCTGTAAATCAATTATCTTTCAGTGTCAATCAGTTATAGTTGTTAATATTCTGTTCTAAGAATGGTGAATAGGATTTAATTGTTTAATAACGTGACGTGGGCTGCACAATATGATCATTTTGAATACAACGATAGTACTTGAAATAAATAAACATATTCAAACATTATCCAGCACCAGGAAAAGAAAGGCAGACATGATCACATTTAAAACCCAACATACTTACAAATTAATCTGAACACAAAAGGCACCAATACAAAAAAGTAATGTATTATAAAGTGCAGCCTTCTAAAGATACTCTTTCATATAGCTCCAAAAAATATCTGAGTTCAACATCGCGCAAGTTGACATCATGATGACGTGGAAAAAAACAATATAGTATGCAGCCCTATAAGTGATGGAACACTTTATATTCATAGATTTTCAGGACATTACTGCATTCTTCCTGGTGCTGTGTAATGTTCCTGAAAGCCATTCGTATTTATTCCACTTGATAGCTAGAGCGAATCATGAATGCGACCCTCTCTTAAATTGACAAGAGCGGCACATATTCTCAGAACTTTGTCTATTTTAGCAGCCACGGTACGCGGGACAACCTGCGATAATATTCTGTAAACTTTCAGTCGTCTGATCGCTCTTTCAGCATGAACTCTTACAGATGCCATTTGTCTAGTGCATATCAACCATGTCTCAGTTGGCTGCCCACATTTTTTGGTGTAGAACGGCTTGGCCAAGTCAACATCATGCTTTAACAGCACATCTTCAATAGGAAACCCTCGAACTGCCATGACCTCATCTCCAGGCATCAAGTAGTTTAATATTCCTGAGTTCTTTGTTATGAATGTGTCACTGCATTGCCCTCCATACGCCGCAGAGATGAACATGATTAGTCCACACGGGGCATAAGCTACCTGGTATTTCATTGTGTTGAGTGAATCAAGGTTACGGGGTTTTTGTAAAAGGATCTCATTGCAGTCTAAAATACAAGTTAAGTCAGGGAAATCATCAATGAATTCTTCGGGCAGGTTTTCTTCAATAGTTTCTTTTGGAAGCCACGGAATCAGAGGTCGCAAAACCTCATCCAGTTTGTCAATCCAATAAGGGATTATTTTGCGAGCCATGCTTTGGGATATATGAAACTGTTTGCTAAAATCAGCCATCCCACGGTTGGTCCTTAGTTTCATTAGGGTCAGAAGAACTTGATCTCGCACAGACAGTGTAAATGGATTGGAGGCGTGTCCTTCCAGTGTTGACACGAGGATGTTAAATGTCTCTAGAGATACACCAGTGTAGAGCAAAGCATCCGAGTCGTTTTGTAGCATGAAGTACCCAATCTCGTCACACTGAGTCGTCTGATCATGCACATACTTAACGCCGACACTCTTGGTATAATCATGATCCAGTTGTGAAGGGTCCTCCCACTGTGTGTGAGCTGAGCAACGCTGTGGGGCAGGGGGATCTTCAGAACTTAAGATGCCAGCAGCATCTGAGATGGTCATAGCGAAGTCCACTGAGCAGCCTGACAAACACAATGTAAAAGAGATGACAAAACATAAGTGTCGACACAACCTGAATACAATAAGTTTCCCAAAGGTAGGACTATTCAAGAGCTCTTAGGCTAGATTGGTAAAAAAAAGTAAATAATAGAATAGCTTTAAATAATTAGAAGTGAATGGAATTGTGGATCGAATAAATTGCATTAATTAATAGACATGATCGCATTCAATATCAGCCCGCACAGCATACCAGTTTTTACATCTATAGTATATAAGGTTATATGCAAAATAATCAGTGGTGGAAGATGTATTTACTTAAGTAAAAGTAACTTGGTATCATAAAACCTAAATAGAGAAAGTCCTACATTCGAAATCTCTCTTAGGTAAACAAATACAAAAGGATAATCATCAAAATGTTCGTAAGGTATCAAATGTAAAGGACAGAAAAAAGTAGCATATTGCAGTTGACATTATGAGGTGGATATTATGGTTGCATTAAGAATGATGTAACTGTTGTTGACAAAGTTCTGATAAAAAAATGATTGATTCTACGACTTTCTTAGCTGTTATTAATATAGTGGATAATTAATTAAAAATAAATTCAGTGTAAATACAGTTTTTCAACTTAATTAAAAAACTAATATAATTTACTGTATTACCGTTTACTTTCCGACCATTTTCACCGTCTTGATGAACATTCATGCAGGAATCAGCAGGTCGAGACTTTTTCTCTCGGACTCCCCGGACTACTATCCTCCTCTTCGGTGGTGGAGGCAGGTCATTCCCCAGGAAGAGCTCTGGGTCCGGGTGCAGCACTGTGGGTCTCTTATCGACGAAGTGGAAGGAGCAAACGTACACTCTCTTTGGGCGTCGTTTGAGATTCAGAGCCGCGAGCCACGCCGCCTCTCTTTCCTCCTTCCGCGGCATGGTGTGCATGAAGTAGCGCGCGGGGCACGGACATTGGTGCCTAAGTTTTTCATGACCTAAACAAAATGTTTCTGCAAATTCCTTCAATTTCTGTGAATTGTTGCGGCAACCATGCACGGAACATGTCGACCCTGAGCTCATTTTCAAAAAACGTATTAGTTAGTTTAAAGTTGTTTTAAGTTCCTCTCGGTTTGTTGTTTTTCTGCTCGCTGCATGCTGGCTCGTTACCGGATGCAGAAAACAGGCGGCTTCTTCTTCTATGGTTTTACTGGCGGACTGCAACGCAGCGTTCAAGGTGCATGCTGCCACTTCACATCGGAACATAGAGTGGTGCAGTACCCAGATGCTTAAATACTTGTGATTATTGTCCATATAAATGTAGAAAATGAGTTGTTAAATGTATTTATGTCTGCGCATTGCACTTATCTAATTAGCCTGTAGCATGTTTTTTATAATATTTTTAAATTATAATTATATTGCAAGCAAAACCCTTTACTTTAACTCTTACTTTAAGTTCTGAATGCGTTTCCTCTGTAGAAATGTTTATTCAAACCGGAGATGAAAGACTAATTTCTAGCAGTATATAATACATTTAACCTCCTAGCTTTTTTCTAGATGTATTGCTGATGACTTCATTAGGCATCGATTGCTACAAAATAAATCAACACAGCAAATAATCCTGTAGTTCTGCATGTGTTCAGACAATGAGTTCAAATACATTATTTCTGCACTGTTAACTAGACAATGCAAGCAAGTTGAAGATATGTGATGGGAATTGATCACTATTTTGTTACAAATGAAAACTACGTAAACAATACATGTATAATCACTAATTGCTGCTTAAATCTGAACCAATAATCTATGGTGTGAAACTACGGCCTTGAGAAATGATCAATTAAGATAGTTTTAATAAACAAAGAAAAGCTGCTTTGACAAATAAAAGTTAATAACTTTATGATTAATGGAAAGATGTTTAGTATTGAGCTTTCTCATCTCACTCAACAAAGGAAAAGATTAGAGTAGATTTCTGATGAGAGACATTAGAAAAAGAAGACAGAACCTCACTGAGCAAAATCATTTTAATATTTTTCTTTTCATACAAAAACATTTTCAGGGAGTTCAAACTGAAGCATTTTATAATTGAGGAACAAACTGTGGCAGAAAACATTTCAAAGATATTTTAAAAATATCAAAGAAACGAAGATTAAACGGGCCAGAGTGCAGAGTTCCCTCCCGGTGTGACAGAAGCAAAACACAAAGCTGCAGATGCAGGGTGAACATTTATTAAAGAGCACCAGAGCTTTAAATGTTAGGAGTTGTCTGTTTGCAGAGATTTCCTGGCCATGCATTGGCCTAACCACTTCTTTAACCCATCAGTAAAATGTGTGCTTAATTTAACTCGAGCACTAAAGTACTGGAGGCTAAGAGTGGAGCCATAGAAAATGTTAAATAAAAAGGGAGGTATACCGTCTCTTTAATACTGGGGGTGCACTGAGCAGCAGCTTAAATAAAAGTTTGACAGTTCTTTTGTAAAATGACATCTGCAGGAAAGAATACTTCCCCTGCAGAACGTGTTGGCTTGTTTACGATTTCTTTAGCTGTGGGTGATGATAGAAAACTCAGAAAGCCAGTCTTTCTTCCTTGCAAGCTGCGAGTAGTGCATTGAACATTTGGCATCCCTCAGAGCTGCTCCGAGACGACCACATCCTGATCTACAAGTTTTCTTTTGTTTCTCTGGAGGAGGAGCTGCTAACGGGGAGGGGACATGGGGTGTGTGTGGTGCTGTTGCAGGTGGGCTCATCAGTAGTCGTCTCCCCGGCTCACCACCTCCTTGCAGGTGGGCCTGAGCAGGATGGTGTGCTCGAACTGAGCGGTGTAGCAGCCCTTGGTGTCGCAGAGAGGGGGGTAGGGGTCCACGATTCCCAGGTCGCACAGATTCTTCAGGGCCATCAGGTACTTGCTTTCTCCGTGGCGGTCCAGCCAGCGCCGGCAGAACGCCAACGTGCCGAAGTTCTCGTTGATGACGTTCAGAAGGTGCTTTGCTCTGGGGAGCCTAGAGAGGGAGAAAACATCTCTTATTTTAGAACAGGATTTAAACATCACAGGACTCAGTTACATTGTTTTAGATCAGTGCTTCTCAAACTTTTTTCAGTCATGTACCCCCTTTGAAACATTTTCTCAGCCAAGTACCCCCTGACCGACCCCGAAAATGTTTGATCGAAAAAGCCTATACAAATAATTCCAATATAGTGATGTTCCCTCAGTGTGTGATTTATTAACTCCTTTACAACAAACTAAGGATATTTTCATTTTATGCATAAAAAAATAAAATAATTTAAACAGATTTTTCAAAGGACTTTTTCAACTGAAGTAATATCTGTTTAACAAACCAATGAACACAATTATATATTGTGCAAAACTATAAAATACAATACACCAATTTGACATGAGGACCCCCTTGGTGGTTCTAGGAATATTTTATATAAAATTGTGTTTTCTATTTAACTTATTGTACTAAGATTATTTTTGTAATCATGCATGGTATTTTTTTAATTAACTTTTTTTTTAAATCTCACGTACCCCCTTGCAGTACCCCAACGTACCCCTAGGGGTCCGCGTACCCCCATTTGAGAATCACTGTTTTAGATGATGGTCTAGTGACCTCTTTGAACTAGGCAATGTGACCCGTGTTTTTCTTATTTGCATTTGGTGTGAATATTCTGAAATTTGAGGCAAGTGTGCGTTTTTAATTAGTTAAGGGTTAATAGATATTCGAAAAAGGCATTTATTAATCTTGAGGGGTTGTATCAGACGGTCAACAGTATACTAGCATTAAATAATAGCCACATGTTTTTGTTCAGGAATGCACCATGAATGCAGATTCTTACCTGATGGGAACGTGTCCGACGTCAAAGTTCTTCATGTAGTGAGAGCACTCCATGTCGTCGTGCACCATTCCTTTACCTGTGCTGCCAAATGTCTCAATGGCATAGACTTCTCCTTCCTACATGGTGCAAACAAACTATTAACAACAGGAAGACTGCATTTATTTTATAATGCTTCATTTGAACATTTAAGGCTTTACTCTCAGATACAGAAATAACAAACATTCCTAAAAAAAGGCAAAGATCTGAGCCATTACATCCAAACATGTAGTGAAGTGATGAAGATAATATAAAACTTGCCTCCATCCTAGTTGCTTCTCCTCCTTTAACAATGGGCACAGTCTTTCCTGCGTGTATTCTGTACTGACCGATTGAGTGACCGTTCAGGTTTCGGATCGGCTTAACTGAAAAAAAAAAAAAAAGGTTCTTAAATTAATAAACAAGAAATGTGGTAAATTATATATATATATATATATATATATATATATATATATTGCTGTAGGGCTGTACCCGAATATTCGACTATTCGTTCGTTGACCAACTATTCGGGTTTCAATTTCATTATTCGGATATTCGTTTTTAAAATTGTTTTCAATTTTTTTTTTAAATGTTCCTAAATGTATGCTATCAATAAAGGCGAATTGCCATATTCTTATACTATATTTATACTTTTGAATCGCACTATTAAAATGCGGAAATATATACAATCTCAGCCTGTGCTCCTGACATCGCGTTCACTCACAGTCACGAACGCAAACGGCACGCTTCACCTCGCTTCACCTCGCTTCACACACCTGAACACAAAATGCCGAAGACTCCAGCTGTGTGGGACCATTTTAAATTGGACGACGGTAAGAAGAAGGCAGTGTGCCAAATATGCGACAAGAAACTGGCCTACCACGGTGGCACAACAACTCTGAAAAGTCACCGGATGCTGTAAGTAGCCTAGCTTAGCTTAGCTGTTGTCAAGTTGCCATGATGAAGCTGCTTTATCCGCCGTTTAAACAGTAACGTTACACATGATAACATCGTGCACTTACTTTGCTTGGAAAATAGTTACAAGCAAGCAACCGAATAGTTTTTTTATATTAGTTTTTCAATTTGATCCGAATAGTGAAAATAATAGGAGCAATGTGGAACATCTGGGGCTAAGGCAATTATTGGCATACAGTTCGTTCATTTATTTTTCGTTCTTCATTTATTTAAATACTGTTTACTGTATCGGTAACAAGTGTTACCCTGTTAGGCCGACTGTTACGGCTATGTTATTAAAAGTATTGTTGTTATAACAGAAATATGTGTTTTGTATCTTCAGGTTGTAAAACGTTATAATAATAATAATAGATTTAATTTGTTAGCGCTTTTACAGGTGCTCAAAGACGCTTTACAGATATAGTGAAGGGAAAAGAAAAGGAAGGAACAACAAATAAATATATAGTTAAAGTCAAATAATACAAAAACAATCACACATTAAAAGCCAGATTGAAGAGACGGAATTTGGAGCCAGATTTGGTCCCCGGGCGCTGCACTGCGGCTGGGTTAAATGCAGAGGACACATTTAGTTTAATGAGCGAGTACTGAGACAATAAATAAATATAAATCGTAATAGTATGCTCTTTCTGCGCTTCTGCTTAACAGCGTGTTGTCAGGTGTCTCGGAGCGTGTTAAGAACATTTTTTGAAAAATAAAATGTTTATTAAAAAAAAAAGAAATCTTTCCGCACCGAATATTCGCTGCTGATTACTACCGAATATCCAGAGCCCGAAAAATGGTATTCGGGACAGCCCTATATTGCTGCGTGCATTAATTAAGATCAGGGGGTTTAACTATTTATAGAAAGTAATTTAGACTCTTCTTATTTCACCAGCTGTTCATAATGACTTTGAAAAAAATTGGGAAAAACAAAGAAACATAACGTTGGGATGGTTATTTGTTCAAATGTTGTTTCGGTTTGTAGACACGATGTAGAAGTACGAGACTTTATCATCAGAGAAATAACATTAAAAGGACTGTTTGGAATACTGACCAAAGTGTGCTCACAGTAATTGAGTGTGTAATAAGAAGGTACCTTGGTATGTTTTGCCATCAAGCTCCACCTCATATGACTCCATCACCTCCTGAATGGCCTCTCCAACATCACACAGACGCACATCAATACCAGCGTTCTGCAACAAACAAACAGGAAATCATGAGCTCCAGGTCAAAACAGATAATATCAGTGAGGTGCGTTTGTGTTCGTCATACTTTAATTCCAGTATTGGTAGCATCTTTCACTGCCTCCAGCAGCTTGTCATACTTTGGATTAAATGTGACAGTGAAGGCACAGTCAATGAT